GGGGGGGTGGGGACAGGAGCTATAGGGCGGGGCAGGGGCTGGGGGCCGTCTGTGGCAAGGGGAAAGGCAGGCCTAGCCTTCCACATCTTCCCCATTTCCTAGAAAAGCCAGAAATCCAGAATATTCCATGAGAGATCTGATGTTTATTTTTTTTTTTGGTGTTTTAATAAGCTCCCAGGTGATTCTTATATACATCTAGGTTTGAGAACCACCAGCTGGTGGAAAAAAGAACATTTCTTTTTTTTTTTTTTTCTGGTGATGAAGATTCGCCGTGAGCTAACATCTGTGCCAGTCTTCCTCTATTTTTTGTATGTGGGCCGTTGCCACAGCAGGGCTTGATGAGCAGTGTGTAGGTCCACACCGGGGATTCGAACCAGCAAACCCCGAGCTGCCAAAGCAGAGCGCGTGAACTTAACCACTGTGCCACCAGGCTGGCCCCAATAATGTTTATACACCATGTTTAACCAAACGAAGCCCATCTGTGGGTGCCAGTTTGTGCCTCTGCCTTGGTGGGGTCTCTTTCCCTGAGCCCCACACTCACTTAACAAACATTTGCTGAGGTGAACACCTGTTGGATGTGGGGCATTTTTCCTGTGCCCAGTGGGTACAGAGACCCACAAGGTATGGTCTGTTTGGGGGTGCAGCACACACCCACATAATCAAGACACAAGGTGACAAGAAGCTGATGTCCACCCCAGAGTGCCAGGAGTGTGTGCCTGTGAGGGGCAGGGGTCACTGGTCATTTGGGGTGAGGCAGGCTGCCCCCCTGCACACCTCCACAATAGGTTCACAGCAGCGAGCTGGGTCGAGACCCCGGCAGCTGGGGGTGTGGCGGCATTCATAAGGGCCCTGTGTCAGAGATGACATTACCAGACTGCCCCGGGGCAGGACCGTGGCTGGGACCTTCTCCAGCCTGCCTGCCAGTCCTGGGAGCTGTTCAGTACCCCTTCAAGATTCCTCTTCTGGGGCCGGCCCCGTGGCTTAGTGGTTAAGTGTGCGTGCTCCGCTGCTGGTGACCCGGGTTCGGATCCCGGGCGCGCACCGACGCGCCGCTTCTCCGGCCATGCTGAGGCCGCGTCCCACATACAGCAACTAGAGGGATGTGCAGCTATGACACACAACTATCTACTGGAGCTTTGGGGGGAAAAATAAATAAATAAAATCTTTAAAAAAAAAAAAGATTCCTCTTCTGCTTAGGTCAGTCAGATAGCCTGGGTCCAAATCCCAGCTGCATGCCCTAAAGCTTGAGCCCTCCCTGCCTCAGTTTCCTCATCTGTAAAACAGAGGTAATGGCCACAACCCACCTGCCAGGCTGCTGTAGGAATCGAGTGAGGTGATGAGCGTAAGACATCTCGTCAGCGTGGGGCTGGAGTGCGTTCCTGACAGGCAGGACTGCCGCAGCTGAGATCCTTCCTGAGTGCATCAGGAGAGGAGAGCTGACTTCTGATTCAGACTCGGTGAAAGATGCTTGGAATTTTGCCATCCAGCAGAAGGGAAGGCTTCCCAGGAGGAGGGAATGGTGTGAGCAGAGGCCTGGAGGCACACTTGGGATGGCTGCCTGGGAATGCACAGCGCCCCGAAGGAGCCCAAGGTCCCTGGAGGAGGTCAAGGGTGTGTGGTGCAGGGTGGTGCCCAGGCGTGGCCAGCCAGAGCAGCAGAGCGGAGCTGGTGGGGCTTTTGTGCTGCGGTGTGTCCAGGGCAGGCCTGCGTTTTGGAAGGAAACCCCGCCACTGTGAGGATGGATTTGAAGGGGATGGTGGGAGTGGGTGAAGCGAGGATGGTGCCATCAGAAAGGTGTTTGGCCTGCAGAACAGAAAAGCTCGCCCCAAGTGGCTGAAAGCACGGCTGAGGCAAGGATTTGGGTGCAGGTGGCATGTTTGGGAGGTGATCTCAGGACGCTGGAGCGAGCCAGAGGGCAGGAAAAACCAGCAGGCAGGTGGTTACTGAGGCTGCTGTGGGGTGAGGGGGACTCGAGTCTGCTGGGCACTTGGGGTGTCCAGAATGCCTCCCAGAAGTGAACATCCGCAGGGCCAGGAGCCTAGGGCGTCCTGTCCCTCAGGAGCTAAAGGACCCTGGAAGTGGGGATCAACTCCCTCCCGCCCTTGTGTCTGGTGGGCCTCAAAGCGCTAAGGGAGAGAAGGAAGAGACGGTGCTGTCAGCAGGAGTTCACCCCGGCTGCTCTGAGGCTGGAGGTGAACCCATCCCCGGCCACAGACAATGAGGCCGTTTCCCCGCTGTGATTACTGGTGCTGCGAGGAGGGAAGGACTTATCCTCAGGGCTTCAGGTTCGCGGGTTCCTTCTGCCCCTTGGCTCTGCCATCCTCAGCATCTCCCTGGGCTGATTCTCTTCATGGCTGTAGTAAAGCAGTGAAAACCACAGGCTTCCTTGTCCACATGTAGCAGGACAGGGAGCATGAAAAACCTCCCCCAACAGTGACCCTTGAGTCTGATCAGGGCCCATGCCTACCCTCAGACCAATATCATAGTGGGGGATGGCCAGCCTAGGTGGCTTCGATGAATGTCCTGGGGTGGGTCAGGCATTGACTTCCTACCTGTATTTAGGTCCATCCAGTGGGACTGAAGCCCAGACCTGTGTCATCTCAGAAGTTTGCCCTGCACACCAGACAGGAGGGTGTAAATCCAACCAGCGCCCTTTTCAGGGTTCGAGTCCTGATTGCTCAGCCTGCCCTCTGCCTTGTAGGGGCGGGGCAGCCAAATGCTGGCCAACGGGACTGTTAAGTGAGGCATGGAGGGTCCAGGTAAACTGAGTCAAGAGCTGAGATTTAATTAGCCGCTGACTTTCTGACCTTGGGCCAGTGACTTAGAGTTCTGGGGGCCCATTTGCCCATCTGTAAAACAAGAATAGCAACAGTCCTACCCCAGAGGTGGTTGTGAGGGTGGAATCCATTAGATAGTGTTAAGTGGCTAATACAGGACCTGGCACATAGTGGGTACACGGAAAGTGATGGTTATGCAGGAATTTTCAGATTAAGGGTTAGCCCCAAACAGCCCCAAATCTTGCTGTTTGAAAACCTTTCTGAGTAGTTAGAGCTGTTCCTGCCTAGGTAAGTCCAGCATCCCCAGGCCTACGTGTGAAGGGATCTCTTCTGACGTGTTATCATCTATAGACTTTAAGGGACCCAAGGCCCTGTCCCTACGAAGGTCAGCCCTGGGCGTGGAGGTGGACACTGACTCTTAGTCCATGCCCTGGCCCTGCTGTGGATGCCCCACTCCCTCCCCTGGCCTTGGGAAGTCTCCCACTCCACTCCAGGGCCTGGGCGGGAAGAAACCCCATCCCCCTTTCCCAGTGGTTTGCTGGGTGCCAGATGGCCCATTGTGAATATGAGAGAAGCAGGTAAAGCCAGTCCCCAGCGAGAAGGAGGAAGGAGGAAGGCATCTGGGGAGAAGCCACCAGGGAATGCTGAGGTATCTGGGTCCAGATCTCATTGTTCTGGAAGCCTGGCCAAATCCCAGAGACTCTGGGGCCCCTGGATCCTCTTCACCATTAGTCCTGACAGAATAACCTGTAAACTCTGAGCATCTTTGATTTTAGCCCTCATCTGCACTATGTATCTTACATCTAATGATATACTTTCTTGTTGTTTATTTACTAGGATTATTTTAATACCTGTTTATTGCATTAAAACAAGCAGACATTTCAGCAGAGCTCAGGGCACCCAGGGAAGAGCCTGTCTCACTCCCGCTCAGTCCCTGCCTCCCCTTCTAGAGGCCACGGCTGCTTCTGAGTTGCATGTGTGTCTTTCCAGGCATCTTGTTGTTTAAACATTTTGCGCAATTGTCACATCTGTCTGGCTACCCTCCAAGCGCCTGCCTTCGGTTGTCCCCTCTCCTCTGAGTCATCTGTTCCCCCTCTGCTGGATCATTCCACCGCTTAGATGCAACATGATGTATTTTTCCGGTCCCCCATGGGTGGACGTTTCCAGCCTCCTGCCGTGTCACGCAGGCTGTCATGAATGTCCTTGAACAGGGCTACTTTGCATCTGGATGAGTGCATCTGCAAGATAAATTCCTAGGGGTGGAATTGCTGGGGCTGAGAGCATGTGCATTTTTTATTTTGATGGATCTTGCCAAATTGCCATCTATAGAAGTAGAACTATTTACAGACCTACTAGCAATTATGAGAAAGCCCGTTTCCTTTCACCTTCCACAACACACTTTCTTATCAAACCTTTCTCTCTTTGACAATCTAAAAGATGAGAAATGGAATCTCATTGGGAGATCTCTTAAACATTAAATCAGATCCTGTCTCCCCACCGCATATATACTTACAACTCCAATGTCCTTAGGACATTGGACAACTCCATTGTCCTTAGAACAAAATCCAAACTCTTGACTGCAGCCTACAGGGTCTTCATGAATCAGCCCTGACCTTGCCTCTAGTCTCGCCTCAGGTCCTTCCTCCAGCCCCTCCCCCCGCACACTGCAGCCACGCTGGCTTGGCTTAGTTCTTGGGAGAAGCCAAGTTCTTTCCCGCCTCAGAGCCTTTGCCTCTGCTGTTTCGCTTCCCGGGAATGCCCTCTCCTCTGCTTCTCCACAGCTGGCGCCCTTAGGTCTCAGATGAAATGTCATCTTCCTAGAGACCTCTGAGTCCCCTACTGAAGGAAGGCCTTCCCTGTTATTTTCTCTCATGGCCTGTCTTTATGTTCTTATAGCACTTTCCCCAAACAGTCATGATTTTATTTACTTTTAAAAACCTTCTTGTGCCCTGCCCCAAGAATGTAAGCTCCTGCTATAAGGGCAGGGACCATGTGGGCTTTGTTCCCACTGTGTCCCCAAGGCCCAGCACGTGCCTGAGGCCTCACAGGTGCTTAATGTTATGAATAAACAAATGCCTGAAAGAAATTCCTCCAGAAAAGCAGGCTAGGTTTCTTTTCTTTTCCTTTTTTTTTTTTAAATTTTATTTATTTATTTTTTCCCCCAAAGCCCCAGTAGATAGTTGTATGTCATAGCTGCACATCCTTCTAGTTGCTGTATGTGGGACACGGCCTCAGCATGGCCAGAGAAGCAGTGCGCCGGTGCACACCCGGGATCCGAACCCAGGCCACCAGCAGCAGAGCGCGCTCACTTAACTGCTAAGCCACATGGCCGGCCCTAGGTTTCTTTTCTATCTTTTGCATAATACAGTGTCTAGGTGTTCAGAAGATGCTATCAAATGAAATATTAGCTATCCTGTTGACTTTTTCCCCATTTTACTAAAAATAGAATATAGGAAGAATAAGCAGCTAGTGGAATGTTCCACTAGCTGTTATCCAGTTAATCCAAGGTTAAGTATAAATTGGGTTCCATTTAATTTAAGAGATTTGGACCTTTCCCAGGGATTACAGTCTAAAAGGCACACTTCCTCTGAGTGACCAGTAGTGATGATAGCAACAGCGACCACCATTTGCTGAGTAGTCGAGAGGCACTTTCTGAATGCTTTTCATAGCTGATTTCATTTGGTCCTTACAACACCTATAACAGACTTAACATCCTCGTAGCCATTTTACAGATGAGGAAATTGAGGCTCACAGATGTTAGGTAGCATGCCCAAGGTCCCACAGCTAGCATGTGAACCCAGGTCTGCCGATTCTTTGGAAAGCCCATGCCTGACCGAAGGCCTCAGTACAGTGTCCAGCCTGGAACTCCCGAGCTCACTCCACACCTGTCACTCTACCCAGTGCTGAAGGCACTGTGGCCTGGCTGCCAACTCCGGCAGAGTACCGAGGATAGAGGCTGCCGGGTCCGTGTTCAGCCCTGCAGCAGCCAAGAAAGCGCGCCTTTCCCCCAGATCATCTACCTGCGGCGGTTCAAGGGCCTGCGGACACTCAGCCTCTCTGGGAACCCCATCGCTGAGGCAGAGGATTACAAGATGTCCATCTGTGCCCACCTTCCTGACCTCGTGTACCTGGACTTCCGGCGCATCGACGACCGCATGGCAAGTGTCTCCCTCTGGGTCTCCGAGCTCTGAGTCAGGCTTCAGGCCCCCCAGGTTTCGTGGAAAGGGGCACTGAGCTCCCCGTCCACACAAGGAGGAGAGAAAGGGCAGCTCCCTCTTCCTAACTCCTTTTACGTCCTCTGTCCGCGACTCCAGCAGAACCCTCGCGGTAACTGTTTAGTGTGAGCTCACAGCAGCCAGGCCCCTCCAGGTGTGGCCTCCAGGCCACCTCACAGCCATCCCGCACTGGCTGGTTTTCCAGACGCAGAAGTCAAGGAGACCAAGTGAGGCTCAGCCATTAGCCAGGATCAGCGGCTCGCGGCAGAGCCAGAGTCACCCCTGCTCTGTGTGGCCTGGGAGCAGTGTTACAGCTGACTGCTGCTGTGCACTTATGCACCAGGCACAGTGTTATTTCACGTTGTTTTCACCACAGCCTGTGGGCCGGGCCCTGCCCTCATCCCCACTTGCTGATGGAGAGTCATCACCATGAGATGACATGCCTGGGATCTCACGGCCAGTGGTAGGCAGCCTGGAAGTTGGGCCCAGGCAGTCTGGCAACAGACCCCATGCTTGCAGCCCCTGTGTGGGGCTCACCCCGGCAAGGAGGGCCTTTCCCCTGTCCACCGGCTGGTCTGTCCACCAGCTGATCTGTCCACCACGTGCCTCTTTCCCACTTCCCTGCTATGAGCTGGTCCCCTTTCACTTGCTTCTCTCCCTTTCCAGTGTGCTCACTTTGTGGGGACTTTCCTCATTGGGAAAAAAGAACCTGGCCCAATTGTGAGGCCTTTGGTAGCAGGACCAGGATGTCTCTGCATATTGGGTGTGGCAGAGACTAAGGCCTGTTTGACCTGTCCACTCCTTCTCACAGGAAGCTGGTACCTCTCCTGAGAGAAGGGAGCCTGTGTTTGGGGCACTGAGGTGATGTGGGGAGCACCCAGGAGAGCCAGCGGAAGCAGGGAGGAAGGCCGGCCCAGAGCTCTCAGTGTTGACCTTACCCAGCCTGGACCAGAGGGCAGAGCCCAGCCCCCTTACCACTGTGGAGCCCTCCGCTCGCTGGCCCCTTCTTGGGAGGTCCACAGAGACAGTGTGGGGTCAGAGTTGCCCTCCTCTGACCGTGGCTTCCTCTTGTCCCCTAACAGTACAAGAATGTGAGATGTTGAATTCTAAGACTCTGAAGTCTTATTTTTTTCACTTAGACAATAATTTGAAAGGCAACATGGGCTCAAGTGCTTGGAATAGGCCAATGAGCTGTTGGGGTGTGTTTCGCTCATTATAAAACCATGGGACAGCCTAACACTGCACAGTTCCAAAGCCCCTCCCCAAGCATTTTCTCCTTGGTCTCCAGAAGTTTCCATAAAGGGCAGGCAGCGGGGCCAGCCCGGTGGCGTGAGCAGTTAAGTGCGTGCACTCCACTGTGGCAGCCTAGGGTTTGCCGGTTCGGATCCCGGGCGTGCACCGATGTACCGCTTGTCAAGCCATGCTGTGGCGGCATCCCATATAAAGTGGAGGAAGATGGGCACGGATGTTAGCCCAGGGCCAATCTTCCTCAGCAAAAAAAAAAAAAAAAAAAAAAAGTTAGCCCAGGGGGGGGCCCCCCCCAAAAAAAAAAAAAAAAAAAAGAGGAGGATTGGCAGATGTTAGCTCACAGCTGATCTTCCTCACAAAAAAAAAAAAAAAAAAAGGGCAGGCAGCACAGCCTCAGCATCCCCATTGTGCCGAGAGGAAACAGAGGCTCCTTTCGTGTTGCAGAGACTTGTCTAGAAGCATCAAGATAAATAATTAGTGTAAGTTTATAAGAGCAGAGTTCTGCAAAGCAGGGGCACCTCAAACTCCCCCTGTCCGCATTACTGCCTGTCCTTGGGCAGCCACAGCCGGCCCCAGGCCCCTGGCCTCTTGGTACCTTAGGGCTTGGGCAGCAGGACAGCCAGGCCTGGTGGCAGGCTGACCAGGGGCCACGGGCAGGCTCTCCCTGAGGGCTCCACCTGTACCCATCGGGCCACCTTTAAGTTGAGACCCTGGGCTGTGCCTGAAGGCTGGCCTCCCCTCAGTCCAGCCCTGAGGAACAGAGGAGAGTCCCAGCAAAGCACACAGAGGGGCAGGGGCTGTGAGCTGGGGGGCGCTCTGAGGGAGCGGGAAGACAAGCAGGAGGGGCAGGAGCCAGTCAGCAGGCCGTGCTGGGATTTTGGGCCTGTCCTTGACGATGGAGGCCCACGGAGAATCCTGAGCAGTTTGCAGCAGATTCATGACATGATCAGCAGTTCAGGGATCTGGTGACTGGTGTGGGGAACAGAGGCTACAGAGGGAGAGATGGGGGACAGGGAAAGAGGGGCCGTGGTCTTGAGAGAGAGACAGAGAGAGGAGGTGGTGGGGGCCCCACCCAGGGCAGGGCTGTGGGAAGGGAGAGGAGGAGGGGCAGATACTAGAGATATTTAAAAATGTAAACAGTTATTGAAGTATAACTATGTAAGGAAGCAGCATGTAAGTGTACAGCTCAGTGAATAACAAGAGATGTTTAGAAGGATTTCAACTGTGCAGTATAAGCTGTGTGCAACCACGGCCCAAGTTAAGGCATAAAACTACAATATACGTGTACTGACATCATGTTCGGGTGTGAGGCTGGGATGGGCTTCAGGCAGCACAGGACAGTGGGAGGAAAGCTCAGTATCTGGAACTGCACAGATGCGGGGGGAAGCCCCTGCCTTCCTTTGTGGAGCCTACATGCCGGGAAGGGAGACAGACAATCAGATCATCCCACAGATGCATGAAAATATCGGGAGGGAAGGACATGAGCTGAGATGTACAGGATGGGGGTTGGTGGTTATGGAGTGGCTTCCCCAGGGAAGTGGTTTTGAGCTGGGATCTACAGGATGGGCGGGAGTTGGCTGGGTGAAGGAGCAGCCCAGGCAGAAGGCAGAGCACATGCAAAGGCCTTGTGTCAGGAGGCAGCATGGTCAGCAGGCCAGTGGCTGGAGTTCAGAGAGCTGGAGAGAGGGGGAGGCAGGCAGGGCCTCGCAGGCCACGGCAGAAGCTTGTCATTACCCTATGCCCAAGAGGAAGCCATACAAGGGAAGAGAGGAGCTGACAAGATCAGGTTTGTATTTAACACACATTGCTCTGGCTGCTTGCCGGGGATGGGGTGGACAGACTGGAGGAGGGACAGAGTGCACGGGGGAGGCCAGCTGGGGGGCTGTGGCAGGGGTCCTGGCACGAGGTAATGTGACAGATTAGAGAGGCGATCAGGAGGTAGCATGGACAGGCCTGGGCACAGCCTGGGTCTGAGGGGGAGGGGAGGGTCTAGGATGCCTCCTGGGTCTCTGGCTCAGGTGCTGGCTGGCTGGGGGCCACTCACCTCAGCAGGACTCTGGGAGGACAGACGTCCATCTTGGACATGGTAAGCTGGCAGTGCTCTTGAGGCAGCCAGGGGGCGTGAGGCCATCAGAAGCTCAAGTCTGGCACTCAGAGGTGGGGTCTGGACTAGCGGTAGAGCCCCGAGGGTCATCCTAGGATGGAGGAGGGCACTGCTTGTGCCTGAAGCCTTCGCACCAGTCAGATCACCTGGGTGCATAGAGGAGGCCGGGAAGGGTGAGGGCTGAGCCCTATGGTGCCAGCAGTCCCCACAGGTGCAGGGGGATGAACTAGAGGGGAGGGGAGAGACAGGAACGGGCAGAGCACAGAGCCAAGGGCCAAGACCCTCGCTACCAGGCCCGTGACTTGGCCTCTTTCCCATTGTGCACCCCTAAAAGAGGGCGAGACACCTGCCAGGGAGGGCTGTGGGGAGCTTGTGAGGCTGTGTGTGTGAGTGCTTGTCGCTGTGGCCCCCACCCCCGAGATGCCCCTCAGATCGTTGGCCTGCCGTGCTGTCCCCCCACCCCACCCCCCCGCCTCCCCCGACTCCTCTTGGTCCTTCCCTGATTTCCCTTAGACTCAGAATACCTGGAAAGGGCCATCAGGCAACAAGCCATTCCTGTCCACACAGCCTTCACAAGGGGACCCATCCACACTCTCGCCCACACTCGGGAGGCCACAGGATGGCAGAGGCCAGCGTGGCTCAGAGGGACCAAGCGTCCCCTGGTCACGATGCCACTTTCCGTTCCCCCATCAGAAAGAGCTGGCGGAGATTAAGCACCAGTACAGCATCGACGAGCTGAAGCACCGGGAGAACCTGCTCCAGGCGCGGCTGCAGGATGAGCAGGCCCGGCGGGAGGAGCTGGAGGAGCACAAGGTATTCCCTGCCGGGGAGGGGCCCAGCTCCCCACCTCCCCACCTCCCCTGCCATGCCTCATGCTGGCACGGGGCATCAGTCCAGTTCAGCGAAGGTCAGCAGGGCCCAGGCCCTGAAAACCTGTCTTTTGATTGAAAACAGATGCCGTGCAGCCACGCCTGGCTCTGATGGGGCGCGGAAGTCATACTCCATCAGCAAGGCCCAAGCCTAGCCACCTCACCCTGCCTGCCACCTACCTTGTCCTCACGGGCATCCCTGCCTGCAGGGCGCAAGGCTGGGAGATTGTGCTGAAACAGTCTCTCAGAGCAGCTCCTTTTCTTAAAACCCTTAGGCCGGGGCTGGCCCCGTGGCATAGCGGTTAAGTGAGCATGCTGTGCTGCTGGCAGCCTGGGTTCGGAACCCCGGGCACACACCACTGCTCTGCTTGTGAGGCCATGCTGTGGCGGCGTCCCATATAAAGTGGAGGAAGATGGGCACAGATGTTAGCCCAGGGCCAGTCTTCCTCAGCAAAAAAAAAAAAAAAAAAAAAGAGGATGTTAGCTCAGGGCTGATCTTCCTCACACACACACAAAAAAAACCTTAGGCCGTTCCCCATGGCAACCAGGAAGGTTCAAGTCGCTTACTCAGCACGGCCCTGGCTCTTTCCTCCCCACAGTCCCCTCCCCTCCCTCCAGCCAGACCAAGCCAACTGCAACTTTCAGTTATATGCCTCTGGACCGCCTCATGTGCCAGGCCCTCTGCCACATGCCCTTCCCCTGCCCTGCCTTCCTCAAGGGCTGAAGCCCAAATATAGTGACCCCTCCTCCACGCAGCATCCACCGACCCCAGTGCCCAGCACAGAGCTTCGTCCAGTGAGCCCTCCCCGGGGCCTGTGGGATGAATCCATCACAGCTGGCTGTGTTTCTGACCGCAGGCCGCATTCGTCGAGCACCTGAACGGCTCCTTCCTGTTTGACAGCATGTACGCTGAGGATGTGGAGGGCAACAAGCTGGCCTACCTGCCTGGTGTCAGCGAGCTCCTCGAGGCATATCCTTCCAAGTTCACAGCGACCTCCTCTGGCAGAGCCTGGGCCCCATGTCACCCACCTGCCTGGGGCGAGTCCCTGTCCACTCTGGGCTTCAGTTTCCCCATCTCTCTTGTGAGACCCTGGAAAGTACAACCCCCACTTTAGGGCAGTGTACCCAAGAGGCAGTGCAGAGCCAGGTCAGCTGAGCTGCATAAGGAAATGCTGTCTAGATTTCCGGGGGCACAGTGAGCGTCTGGTCAGCATGGCATGGGTCTGCTGTGCTTGACAAGCCAGCTTGTCAGCAATGGAAAATGGATTGAAATGTGCATCCATGGCACTAATCCTCATTGCCCATATTTACTTGTTCCTGCTGTGTACTTGGCATACAGTATTTATAATTTTCTCACCCCCTACTGGATGTGTGCTACTATTAATCCCATTTGGTAGTTGGGGAAGCTACGCTTGGAGAGGTTCACTTGTCCAAGGTCTTGCAGTTAGAAGCTGGGGTTTGAGCCCTAGTCTGTGGGGCTAAGAGCCTGCATCCTTTCCCCAGTTGGCGGGAGCCCAGAGGGTGTGACCTGCACTTGTCATCAAGGCAGTGGCCATGACGGCCAACAGTTGGCTTAAGCTGAAAGCTGAGGACTCAGGATAGACTGAGGGTGCTGGGAGGAGGCGATGAGGCGCAGAGAGGGTGTGTGGAGCGGCTTTCGCGGCCTAGACTCTTCAAAGCCCAACATTCTGACAAGAGTAGGGCACACGTGGCGAGGGTGTGGGGCTGAGCAGAGGTGAAGAGCAGGGCTGTGGGCGGGTAGATGGGCTCCCCGCCGGGCTCTGCCTCCTGACGGCTGGGCCACCTGGGCTCGCACCTTAGCAGCAGCGCCTGCGTGAGCTCAAGAACTCCTCACGGCAGGCGCAGGCTCTGTGCTGCCCTCGTGCTGCAGAGGAGGGAACGGAAGCCCTGAGAGGTGGGGTGACTTGTGGGGGAGAAGCAGTGGCAGAGCCGGGATTTGAACCTGAATCTCTGCTTCAAGCCCGTGGTCCCCACCTCCAGTTTCCCTCAAAGACAGGCCCTCAACAAAGGTGCCCTCTAGACAACACACCAGAGACACGTGCTCGCTGCTTAGCTCCCTGGCCAGGCATGGCTCCTCCTGGGCTCCTGGCCCCCCCTAGCCCCCAGGTCCCCCAGGAGTCTCTTCTGGGGGCCTTTCTTAGCATGTCTCTCCTCTGCTCTGTAGTCTTCTCCCGTGGCCCCTGCCTCCTTCCCTCACACAGGTCCCATTCCGGAATCCCTCAGGCCGAGGGTCGAGATGCCCCAACCACCACATTATACTCCCAAACCCTAACTCCTGGCCCTGAGCAGGAATCACCACCGCCCTCGTCCCATGCCCTCCCAGCAACCTGCCCCTGAGACAGCCTCGAGCTTCCTTAACGGCCACTCACCTACAAGGACAAATTTGTCATCATCTGCCTGAACATTTTCGAGTATGGCCTGAAGCAGCAGGAGAAGCGGGCAGTGGAGCTCGACACCTTCCGTGAGTGTGTCCAGGAGGCCATCCAGGAAAACCAGGAACAGGGCAAGCACAGGATCGCCAAGTTCGAGGACAGGCACCTGCTGGTAGGCCCCGCCCCCCAGCCCCTCCTGCCTCCTGCTGCAGGCGCTGACTGCCACGGGCCTGGCCCCACTGGACGGGCCGCAGCCCCCACACCTCTGACAACCCCTGAAGCCCATGGTCATTGTCCCCGTTTGCCAGAGATCACACAGCTCAGTGGCAGAGCCAAGGTTCAGCCTTCCACTGGCACCACCAACCACAGCTGTGCCAGGGCTGAGCCTAGCATGGGGCCTGTGGGTTTCCTTCGCCTAAAACGTCCCCAGGGTTCAAGGTAGCATTGTCATTACTGCTATAATGGTGTTATTATTACCACTGCTGTTAATGGCAATGACGACGGCTACTTTTCTTCTGTTCATTCATTCGTCTAACAGACATTTTCTGAGCCCTGTGCTGTGCCCCACCCTGGGAGCCATGCTGGACGTGGCTCCTGCCCATACGACCTCCCATCTAGTGGGGCGCAGACCCAGGCCTTCCCCACTGCAGGGGTCAGCACTCTGCTGGAGGGAAGCCCAGGGAGCCTTGGGGGTTCCAGGGGCCCCTTAACTTGAGCTGAGGCTTACAGGAGAAGGCGCCCTGAGGGAGAAGGCCCCTCCCTCAGGTGTTCAAGACCTGGCCTAACCCGGGCTACTTGGCCCAGCCTAAGCAGCTGCCATGTGTACCTGGTGGGAATCATTCCTTTCAGTTAGCATTACTTTTTTCTTTGTGGGGAAAGATTCGCCCTGAGCTAACATCTATTGCCAATCTTCCTCGTTTTTTTTTCCTCCCCAAAGCCCCAGTGCATGTTTGTATACTCTAGTTATAAGTCCTTCTAGTTCTTCTATGTGAGCTGCCGCCATAGCATGGCTACTGACAGACGGGTGGTGTGGTTCCACCACCGGGAACCGAACCCGGGCTGCCAAAGCGGAGTGTGCCAAACTTTAACCACTAGGCCGTTAGGGCTGGGTCCAGTCAGCATTACTTTTAAAGACTGGATTCCTAACCTGTTCTAAATCACAGGTCTTTGTGAGACTCTAAGGAAAGCTAAGGACCTTCTTTCTCCTCAAAAAACTGTTCACACACCAAGTATGCAAACACTTGCCTACAGCGTCAGGAGCTTCAGGAAGCCCAGAAAGTCACTCCTGGTTGACAACTGTAGTTTAAAGTAGAGCAAAATCCCCCAATCATGCAAGGTCAGATATAATGGGGGGTGATGGGCCCCCGTGCGCTCCGGCCCTCCCGCACCCAGCCCCGCCTCCCCTCTCCTCATCAGCCTCACCGCCAGACCCACGTCTCAGACCCTCCTCGTAGGTCATAGGGAGGGTGTTACTGCGGGAGTACAGACCTGTCAGTAGACGAGCACATTTGGCTCACATATGTGTTTTGTTTGGCCTACAGAGGGTTTTAAAACATTTTGAACATCCTACTGACATTAAGAATGGGAAGATTTCATAGAAAAATGTGGTTGCCAGCTTCTCTGGAGGCAGTTGTCCTCATGGCCAGAGCGGCGGCTGTCCCCTCTGGACAGGCCACATCTCCAGTCCCAGCTGATACATCCTCCCTGACATGTGTTAGCTGGTTCCTGTAGCCACTAGATTTGGGACGCCTGGATGTCAGCCAGCCGGCTCTCCTGAAGCCCCAGGCTGAGCTGGCCCCTCAGCAACACGGCCCCTGGAGAAGCAGAACATGGGCCAAGCCACAGCCAGTGCTGCACCCTCACTGGCACCAAGCCCGACTCTCTAACGTGCCTCTTCTTGGGTTCAGGGTGTCTGTATTTAGAGCAAGCCAGTTCCCCCCGCTTCTGAGGCACTGGTCTGCATGGCTCCCACGATGGCGACACCTGCAAAGTCCTCCTCGGATGAGCTGACCTGAATGCTCCTCTCCTAGAGCCCAGAGCAGTGGAATCCCGGGGCCCTGATGACATGCTGACGCCCTGGCCCAGGGGACAGCCTGGCACTGGGCTTTTCAAGCTCCCAGGTGCCTCCAATGCGCAGCCCAAGTGGAGCCCACTGTCTTGGAAGTTCCCAGACTCCTGGGCCTGAGGCCCCCAGGTCCCTCCCCTCACAGGACCCTTCCTATGGCGTGTACTGCACTCCTCCCATCACCCCCACTAGACCAGGGCTCACACAGCACCGCCTCCCGGTGCCCAGCAGGTTGTGCCTCGAGGCCAATGGGTCAGCAGAATGCTTAGGCAGACCCCTCACTGGTGACCCTCTCCTGGCCTCCATTTCTTCACCAGTGAAATGGAGATAACTGCCTCGCAGAACTGCAGTGGGGACGAGTGAGATGAGCAGAGCCAGCGCACGGTACATGACGGACGGTCTATGTGTAGTTGTAGTCACTGTGGATAAGTAACACAAGTGTGTGGCACAGACATGGAATGAAAAATGGACCCAGGGGGGTGCAGTCAGTCTGCCCCCAGCCCATGTGAGTGTGTGTGTGTGTGTGTGTGTGTGAGATGAAAATGTAGCATGCACTGTTCTGCACTTTACTTTGCTATTTTATCTGTGCAGCTTGGAGATCCTTCCAAAACTTGAGTTGCTTCATTTTTTTAATCACTGTAACATATCTCATTGCATGGATGAGCCATACTTTATTAAGCCAGTCCCACTGATGGACCATTTGGTTTTTTCCAATTTTTTGCTCTTTCAAGCAGTGTTGCAGTGGATCACCTGGTGCAAGTGTGATCTGTAGGATGATGTCCTGGAAATGGGACTGTGCGTTGCTCCTTTTCATACGTATTGCCCAGCTGCCCTCCACAAGGCTGTGCCTTCCACGCCCTGCCCGCTCCCTCGTCAGGCCAGCCCTGTTGAGCTCTCCCATCTCTGCCAATCTGGCACACTGCGGGTGTGTGTTTATTTTCTCTTAAGTGGGGGTGAGCATTGCATGTCTTACAAACATTTGTATTTCTTATTCTGTGAACTATTTGTTCTTATAATAGGCCCTCACCCATTTTTCTATTTGCTTTCTGGTCTCTCTCTGTGTCTTTTTTAAAAAATTATTACTTCGGACCGGCCCCGTGGCTTAGCGGTTAAGTGCGCACGCTCCGCTGCTGGCGGCCTGGGTTCAGATCCCGGGCGCACACCGACGCACCGCTTCTCCCACCATGCTGAGGCCGAGTCCCACATACAGCAACTAGAAGGATGTGCAACTACAACATACAACTATCTACTGGGGCTTTGGGGGAAAAATAAATAAATAAAATTATTTTTAAAAAAATTATTACTTAGTAGGAGCTCCTTATGGGTTGAGAAATTAGCCCTGTGTTGGTGAAATGAGTTGCAAATATTTTTCCCAGTTTGTTGTTTATCTTGTCATTTTGTTTATGATGCTTTTGCCATTCAGAATTTTAAAACTATTATGTAGTAGAGTTTATCAATATTTTCTTCTGGTTATAGTTAGTAAAGACTTCTCCAGTCTGAGAAAATTTATTAAAAATCTCCCATTTTTTCTTTTAGTACTTTTATGGCTTTATCTTTTACGTTTAAATCTTCACTCCATCAGGGGTATGTTTTCATGTAAGGCTTCTCCAGACAGGGTAGCCATTATTGTAAACATCATTCACCCCCCGAATTGTGTCCAGTTACTCTGTGCTTCTCCATGACTCATACCAAATATCAACAGAAACAAGCTGACACTGCATCCAGTGGCTGAGGCCCCAGGCCCTTTGTTAGTGAACGTCTGGAACTCAGCACCAGGCTCAGACCCCAGGGTGCTCCCCAGCCTGTGAGCTGTGACCATTCCAAATGGTCCAGCATCTGTGTAGCACTGGCATCCACTTGCTCACTGGGTTCTTTGTGGATCTGGCTGGTTTCCTCACAGATTGGACCTGTGCTGTGTTTCCGGTGTCTCTCCACCTGTGCCTGCTCCAGCCTTTTATCTGCACCCCTGTTAGGGGAGCCCCGCTGTGAGCCAGGCCTGCCCGTCGCTACAGGACGTGTGAAGGACACGTTCTCTCCCCCTTCACATGAGGAAACTGAAGCTTAGAGATGGAAATGGCACACTCCAGGTCACACTGCTAATAAGTGGCCTAGATAGGATTCAAATTCAGGTCCACCTGACTCTGAAGCCATAGCTCCTTCCACCAGGCCCAGCCACTGCTAATAAAAATCTGAGCTAACAGGGGCTGACCACTTTTAGTCCTAACGTCTCCTCTAAGAGCCTCGAGGCATGGAGAGCGTAAGAATCTTCTACAAGCTCACAAAGCTGGCAAGTGGCAGAGCTAACATTTGAACTTGGGCAGTCTAGGGGCGAGCCCCGTGGCGGAGCAGTTAAGTGCTCGTGCTCTGCTTAGGCAGCCAGAGGGTTCACAGGTTCGGATCCCCGGAGCACACCGACACACAGCTTGTCAGGCCATGCTGTGGCGGCGTCCCATATAAAGTAGAGAAGGACAGGCACGGATGTTAGCCCAGGGCCAGTCTTCCTCAGCAAAAAGAGGATTGGCATCGGATGTTAGCTCAGGGCTGATCTTTCTCACAAAAAATAAAAATAAAAAATGAACTTGGGCAGTCTGGCCCCAGGGTCAAATTCTTACCCTCAAAACCAAATTGCCCCCTGTCATTAACTAATTACACTTAATCATGGATTCCTAAGGCACACACTTTTGTTTCCAGAGTTTAAGTGCCATTCGAGATGAGTCCGAGCCCACCAACATCGAGAGGAAGATAGCGGAATACAGTGAGGATATCACTGAGCTGTTCAACGTGCTCATGACACTGGAGATGCAGTTGGTGGAGCAGCTGGAGGTGAGGCCGGGGCCCCCGGGCACAGATGTGACGTCTCTGTGCCCAGCCAGGCTCATTTGTGAGAACCTGGTGATGCAGCTGCGAAACCACACGAGAGCTAGAGCCTTCACAGGCACTCGCCCGCCGGAAACGTCCAGTGCACTCGCTGTGTCAGACTAAAGCTTCCTCGCTCATCAGTCCTGTGTCTGCTTTTAATATGTTTCAGTCATTTAGATTGCAGGTGACTCTTGTGCAGAATGAGAGGTGAGCTCATTCCTCTGGAATGTTCTCCCCTATCCTGAGCCCAGAGCCTCAGAGAGGAGAGAGTTTTTATGAGACCCATGGAGCCATCTGGGTGCTCAGAAAGACAAAGTGCCCCCCACTTGGTGACAAAACACAGGCTCACCTGCATGGCAGCCTGTAGTCGCTGCATCTCAGGGCGATGCCTGCGAGGGGCCTGCCACTTGGCACTAAGGGGTGGAAGGAAAGTGCTGCTCTCTAAATGCCTCAGCGGCCCCCGTGACCTGTGTGTTCACAAGACAGCGAGGCGGGGGCTGAAGTGCTGTGAGATGGAACCTCAGTGGACGCTGCTGCGGCTGGGCTAGGAGATAGCGCCTAATCAGTTCCTCACCTGTCAGGTGACACGGCAGACCTGGGAGAGATTTCCCATCACATCGCAAAGCAGATGCTCCCTCCCACCAGGAGGGTGGCGCTGCAGGAAGCAGCCCGGGGCCCAGCAGGGAGGGCAGGCAGGGACCCCCAACCTTTTCAAGCAGGGAGATCCCCTTTTCAACATCCCAAATACCCCAGAACCTATGCAGGGTCAGTGGTACTTGTGTTATCAGTGGCCAGAAAGCTGTGAGTGCAGTCGTGCTTTTCAGTGGCCCTATCTTTATTCATTACAACAGTGTTTACGCACATTTGAACCATGTATAATTCGTCCTGCAGACCGTCCACAGGCTCATGTGGATTCCCCGCGCCCTCGGCCCCCCGCAGCCGCTGGAGTCTGTGGTAGATCAGGGCTGCAATCCCCCCGGGGGGCTCACAGGGCCGCAGGCTTCACCGTGCAGCTTCCGTTGCTCCCTCAATCAGCATTAAGTCTCACTTGGGCCCTGGGTGCTGTGCTGAGCCCTGGGACGCAGCAATGCAGGGGTGCCTCCAGGGCGGGAGGCGGAAGCCATGCAGACAGCAGTACTAACGGTGAGAGGTCTGGGGCTTTACACAAAGCATTTTGTGTGAAGTAACTCAAGCTTCATCACAACTCCATGAGACAGGTACCTCGCAGGAAATCCATTTCATAGGTGAAGAAGTTGAGGCCCAGGGAAGTTAAATGACATTCCCGGAGTTACACACAGTGGTGGAGCTGGGATACTGACCCAGGCAGTCTGGCTCTCAGCAGCTCCCTCCCCTGTTTCTCTGGACGTGATGGATGGATGCCAATGAGAAGCCCAAAGGAAGGGGGTTAGCTTTGTGGGTGTGTGGGGGGGGGGCGGGGGGGATGTAAGACCAGGACAGGTGTTCCTGGCAGAGGGATCAGCACATACAAAGGCCTGGAGAAAGCATTGCATTAAACATTCAGGGGTGGTGAGTTGAAATGGCTGAGAGTAAAGGAGCTGTGGGAGAGAGGCCAGGAGAGAGGGGATCAGTTCGCAAACATCTGCTGGGTCTGTGATTAGAGGAGGCACCAGCTAAGTTCTAAGGAGTGACTTTGGCTCTGACACTAGGCCAGTCAAGTCCATGTCTAAATATGCATGTTAACTGTGCTCTTTACCATTTCCAGGAGACTATAAACATGTTTGAAAGAAACATCAGCGACCTGGTGGGACTTTTTATCGAAAACGTCCAAAGCCTATATCCTTTCCCTGATGACCCTCCGTGGGGAGGCCACACTGGGCCCGTGGGGTACGCTGGCCCACACCAGGGCTCTTCCACCTCCAGGGGAGCTGGGGGAGAAGCGCCTGCATTTTAAACAAAAGGCAGAGAAAAGTAAAGCTTCTTCACAAACTAAGCAGGATGCAAGTAAGTGGGGTCCCTTCCAGGTGGCCACCTGTGGAGTCACCTGCCTACCCCCTCCCACTGCCCCCGTTCCCTAAACACGTTGGCAGAGATAGTAAAAAGCCAGCACTTTATAATCATACTTTGCTTTTTACCAGAAATCCCTACGCCCTGTTTGATTTATAGAAAGACCTATACTTCCACCAAGGTCTTATTTAATGGGAATCTCAACCGGTGAAATTAGAGGAATGCAAAACCTCCAGTTTTTCAACAAGGAAAAAGCTCACCTTCAAAGGATGGAGATTTGGCAACCACTTGGAATATTCAAAAGAATGTTCCATGGGGTCTGAGGGAGTTTCCCGACCCTCAGAACGAGGTGCCCTTGCTAGAGCAAAGGTTTGGGCCCCCTGCAGGCTTGCTGTGCGGGGCCCAGTTTGCAATAGAAGCTTTGGCATGTTTGTTCTCAAATGAGTGAGAGGCAACACCCCAGAATCCCCACCTGCCCCTGGGTTGCAGGTATACACATTCTGGGGGTGTGGCACCTCCATGCTGAAGACACCGACAAATTATTCATAATGAGTTCGTCAGGTTAGGAGCAACATCTAGGGCGTGACCAACCCTTCTGCTACCTGAACTCAGAGCCCTGCCGTGTGGGGGCCAACTGCTGTGCTCCACCCAAGGAGTAACCCCCCGTCTGGCCTCCTGGGCCCACAGTCCCGCAGGGAGACAGATGTTACAGAGGCAATAAGCAAGCAGCGGCCCACCCAGAGACCAGGGCCGAGAGCCTCCCTGAAGGGGGCCAGAGGGGCCAGTGGAAAGGTGGAGAGGACAGTCCAGGCAGAGGAGGCAGTATGTGCAAAGGCCCTGAGGACTGGCCAGAGCAGTCTGGGTGCACATGGAGGCCATTAGGCCACAATAGAGGATGAAGCCCCTGGAGAGCTATAGGCACCAGGAGGGATGGGGTCCTGTCCACCTGCTGCTGTCAGAGCGCACTCTGGCTGCTGTGGGGAGAAGGGCTGGGGAAGACTGTGTCTTAGTCTACTGTCCAGTCAGGGGGACACGGGTTGGAAGGAAGTGGACAATGGAGGGACACTGTGGGGAGCTCAGTGCCAAGGGCCAGTGATGACAAGGTGTTGGGAGGGCGGGGGGTGTCAGGACGGCCCTGGGTCTGGTGTGTGCAGGTGAACGGCTGTGAAGGCCACGATGCACTGGCACCCCGGAGTTTGCCCTCCAGCCCTACAAAGTCTGTTCTCTAGTGACACGGCCCAGCCCTCTGAGGTCAGGGGCGCGCCCGGCCTGCTCCATCCCTGGCCCTCGCTTAACTCACAGCTGCACGATGGCTCAGTGCCGCGACCTGGAGAACCACCACCACGAGAAGCTCCTGGATATCTCCATCAACACTCTCGAGAAAATAGCGAAGGGCGAGCTGGACACGGACCTGCCCGACGACGTGCACGCGGTGAGCGGGTCTGGGGGCTGCGGTGGGGGCGCGGCTGGGGCTCCAGGAACACTCATGGGAGCGAGACAGATGCAGTCCATCCCAGTTCTGTGGCTCCACTAAGCCTGAAATCTCCGGGAGTCTCGGTTTCCTCATCTGCAAAAGGAGACAGTAACCCCTTTGCAGGGTGGCTGGCAGATGAAACAGGCTGACAAATAAAGCAGGTTGTGGGGCACTCAGTGGGGCCCAGCTAAAGAGGAGCTCATGATAAGTAACAGGCTGCTTTCCAAAAGCTCATTTCTGGGGGGCTTCTGGCACTTTCTAAGAGAGGCAGTTACAAACAGAGGCTGAGGCCTGAGATTTCCCTGAAGGTCTTAACCCTGGATGCAGCACGGTACCGTCCCACCACCTCCCTCCAGCACTTCCGGGGACGATGGGCAGGCGATGGGCAGACAGCCTGGGCCTGGGTCTGCTGGCCGAGGCGGCTCCCCAGGCCTCTGCGCTGGGTCAGTGCAGTGTGTGTTCTGTCTCTGGGAAGGAGCACAGGCAACGATGGAGGGGCCCAGGCCAGGGCCTCCTTCAGCATTCATTCCACTCCCGGCTTCTCAGCTTCTCTGCATCTCCATGTCACCACCAAATCAAGCCGCCATTGTCCTTTGCCTGGACCACTGGCCTCCTTTCTGCTTTCTTGTGGGCTGTCCTCCATGCAGTAGCCAGAGAGACCCTTTGAAAACCCAAACCATAGCATTTTGTGTTTTTGCATAACACCTTCCAGTGGCTTTCCGTGACACTTAGAGTGAGCTCTCACCCTAGTCCACCAGACCCTCACGCCTGGCCTGCCTATCTCAGCGACCTCCTCCCTCCCGATGCTCAGCCGCCAGCCTTGCTCCCTTCAGCTGATATTCCACCTGGCAGATGTGCTCGTCCCTCAGGTCTCCAGGTGTCTGGCTTGTCCTTGTCATTCAGATCTCAGCTCAATTGTCAGTTCCTTGGAGAGGCCTTCCCTTATCACCTTCCTGAAAAACCATTGTCTCCCTATCACACACCCCATTTATCGTTGTCAGAGCCCTTATCACAATTTCAAGCTATCTTGTTTATATTGATTTGCTTATGTGACTGTTCACACTACATATAGGCTCAAAGGGAAGGCGGGGATGGCCTCCTCACCACCACATACCTCCCCAGTGCCAGCAAAGGTGCACAGCATGGCGAGGTGCCAGGAGTTCACCGAGCCCCACTGTCAGGTGTGGCTAAGTCCTGCAGACACAGAGACCAGCAGTCCCTGGCTCCCACGGCCTGTCTGGGGACCGAGACAGACACCTAGCGCAGCAGCATGGTGGCAGGGCCACTGTGTCGCCAGCCTTCCCTCCCTAAGCACCCGCCAAATGCTGCTGTTGACCAGACATAGGGAGATGCCATCTTCCCCAAGCCCTGAAGTAAGGCTGCCCCCCAGAGCCCACTCTGGAACCCCTAGACACACCATTAAGGGGTTGTGGAGTTCCCTCGTGGCACGGCTCCCAGGTCAGTGACACCCAGGCGGCACAAGACTGAAACATGCTCCCTCCCTAATGACTGGGACACAGAAAAAGGCGGGCCCTGAAAGTCAGTGGCAGACAAGTGGGCTGGGCTGATGCTTCCAGTGGTCCTCCCTCTCTCCTGCCTGGATGGCTCTGCCTGGCGCCAGCTGACGCCTGTTCCTGTGGCTCCAGGAACACTCAGCACACGCTGACTGGGTGGGAGTGACCACAGTGGGTGCTGACCGCAGAGCTCCGCTCCCTGAGGGCTCACCATGTCCAGGCAGTGAAACCTGATGCTCACAGATGATCTCATTTACCTCACCAAAGGACCCTACAAAGGCAACACTGTTAGCATCCTCAGCTTACAGATGGGAAAACTAGGTAAGACTGGGTCTCAGAGAAGTTTGGGAAACTGCCCAAGATGACACAGCTTGTGAGGAGTGGAGTGAAAAAAATCTGGTTTCTGCTACCTAAGTATCATTGAACATGTCATGATAAAAAGTCACACTGATGAGGTGGTTTATCTCTTTAAAACTCCTCTGGTTCAGTTGAGCAATTGTGATCAGCTCATGCCATACTTAGGGCCAGATTTGTACTGTAAAGTCCTTCTCTACTTTGGAAGGAAAAGCAGAACACACATGCTCAAGGAGAGAGCCTGGAGCTGGTAGTGAGGGAGGGCCTCTGAGTGGCGCTGGCAGCCACAGCCGTCCGTGGTGAGTTTAGTGTAGCGGTGAGTGTGCCTCTGACCCCCTCCACTGGGCCGAGGGCACAGAGCCAGCCTCCGGCTGCAGTGAGCCACTGCCAGGTTTAGCAGGCAGCGGGAGGTCAGACGCCCTCCCTGAAATCTCTGAACATCCATGTGGGTGTCTAGCTGCAAAGGCAGGGCCAGTGCTCAGGTCCAGGCCAGAGAGAGGATCTGTAAGTCCCCAGAAAGTCTGCTGAGGTGACAGTGGGTCTGTGGGTAGGCTGGGACCTGCAGGCTCCCCTGGGGCAGGGGGCTGGCAGCACAGGTCACTGCCCCATCAGCCAAGCAGGGACTAGGCAGGGTGGGACCTCTGCTGGTTTCTCTGTGGCAGAGATCAGGTGCCCTGGGCGAGGGTGACAGAATGATCCGATCCCACGTGGGCACACAGCAGCAAATCCTCGAGCTACCAGCATCATGGTGGTCCTGGGGAGGGCACCAGCTGTGCCCTTTTCAAAAGTTCCCCCCAAGAAGTCGCTCCGAAAATGTGTCTTCACAGCTATGAAGCCCACAGAACAGGGTGGGGCGGCTCAGGGGGCCAGGAGTGGCCACGGTTCTTCCAACTCTGCACACCCCTGCCTCTCCCTTAGTGCTTTGACCTGTAGAAACGGGAGGGGAATCTGGAATATTCTACCCATAAGAACTATGGGAGGGCAAAATGACGTAGCTGCCACTCTAGGCCACCTGAAATCCAGAAACAACTTGCATTTTAAAATCATTTCTTTAAACCAGATTCCTTTTGTTTGTATTTTACAAATGTCACAGTTTTTCATAACCAATTCTAATCTCTTCTGTTCCTAAGCAGACTTCACTTCCCACAGCTTCCAAAGCTGTTTTCTGCATATTCAAACTTTGGGGGGAACGATTTCTCTGCTTGGCTTAGAGATCAGCTGTGACCCACTTTTTAAAATGAAGAATGAGGACCTTTCTGTGATGGGTAGATGCTGTGGTTGTAGCTGTCTCTGAAATCACTGGGGTGACACTCCAGTGCACACTGCCTGACGCTCATCAGCCGGCGGGGCTGTACACCCTTCCCAGAGCCTGGCCTGGGACCTCCTATGCACAGAGGAGGAGCTAAATGACCTCTTGTCATTCCCCCGTGCGACTGTGCTAGTTGGTCCCCCAGATGCGTTTTCCCATCAGCTAGCTTGGCTTTTCATGGGATTCTGTGGAAAAGCAGCATCCCACAAGATATTAACAGGCATTACTCTGAAAAGAAGTCTGTGGCCAACTAGGTTGGAAAACAGACAAAGTTAGAAGAGTTTATTTTCCATAGGACTTTCCAGAGCCTCCTCTGGAAAAATGCTTTGTGCACTGTGAAATTCAGGAGGGGCCTAGGGTGTGCAGGCTCTCCCAAACGTATTTGACCAAAGAATACTTTTTGCAGAAATATTAATATTTCAAGATTCCACAGAGCATATTTGGACACTAAGTTAACCACTCCTGTACAAAAGAAAAAAACAAGTATACATGCACTTGCAGTCCTCTCCAGTGTCAACCTTCAGGTCTCTGCTGTCCTGGGCATCACCAAGACCTCTCTTCCTAGTGGAAGTGCATTGGCAAACTTCCCATGCTCTGGGAAATGATTCCACTCATTTTCACCTGTGCCAGGCACACAACGGCCACAGTGTGGGCACCTGGAATGGTCCAGGCTTGTTAGAGGGTGGTCACTTTAACAACTTTTTACAAGAAAACGAGGTCAGGAACAAGAGAAGGCAGGAGACCCCAGGTGTAATCCCCGGTTTGATTTGGTTAACATGAGGGGCCGTGGAGAGACAATGTGGGGTGTGCACCCATCGGTTTGCAGGGCCTGCTGTCCTCAGAGCAGCCTTGAGACCCTCAGCCAGCCTCACACTTCCCACTCGGCCAGCGGGATTTGGGCAAGCCAGACTTGAGGGCAACCAAGAGAGAAGCACCGTGAGAGCAGATGTCCTGAGTGAGGTCAGCCTGGGGCAGCCTCTGCCTCACCCAGGGGAAGACGCGCTCCCAACCAGGACTGCAGAGTCGACACCTGGTTGCCCCTTTCCCACACCACTTGCCGCGGCTCAGTTCTGGGAGGTGTTGTCCCCGGAAGACGAGCTATGAGAAAAGTGTGCTGACACAAAGGGCTCTGCTGGGCGCCAGGCAGCCGCTGCTTCGGGTGCGGCTCTTCTCGTCAGCTGACGGTGCTCAGAGCCTAGTGACACATACGCTCATCTGATCCTTCCTTTTTTTTTTTTTTTTTTT